GCCGCTGGCCACCCGCTGGCGACGCGCTGGCCAAGCGCTGGCCACCGAGCAACCACGAGCTGACCACGTGCTGGTGATGCTTAACCGGCGCAACTGTATCCGTGGCCACGAAGCGCCGCTGGCCAGCGCTGTTTACGTGCGACCATCGGTAACCAGCGGATTAGATTTTTTGCGACACATGACCGGCGCGGACATCATGATCAACAGCGTCAACCGCCGGTGGCGATGCGGCGTCATTTTGGACGCCAACTGCTTGCCAGTTATCATCTCCCGCTACGCTCAGAAGTACCTATCTACTCGGAATATACAGGGCACAGTGTATAACCTCGTGCGTGACCTTCGCGTACAAATCCCGCGCGAAGTAACTGGATAAATCTCCCGTGCAGGTTCTTATTTGATGTGCCAACGATGCACCGCTCCGTTGCAATGCCTGCCAGGCCAAGCTGATGGAGCAGGGCCATCTGGTTGATGCCTGCTTATTGCAACTCCAGAGGCCGATCTCTCCGCGTCCCCCCGGTATAAAACAGCGTGCCTGCGGTTCATGTTACTTTCGACCCCAGCGGCCCCTTTCTGCTCCCTCTTTCTCGACCGTCCGCCCTCTTTGTTTTTACCTTTTTACTCTTCACCGCCGGACGGTTCATTCCCTTTATACTTCTACGCTTCACGACATACTGCACGATTGTCCGTCAACACTCAGCCATAATGTCGTTCTCTGCATTCGTACTTGCAAGCTCTCTGCTCTCGGGCGCTCTGGCGATCCCGATGAAGGCCCGCAGCGACTTCTCTGCTGGCGCCGCCTATTGGTTGACCAATGATCCCTCTGGCAATGCGATCATGGCGGCAGACATCGCATCGGATGGTACTCTAGTACGTTCGCTGTCCCGCTCTAGTGTATACACTAATGACCGTGCACCATACAGACCCTCTCATCCGCGTACTCGATGGTCGGGAACGGTGCACGTGGGAACACCACGTTTACCGGTCCAGATGCGCTTTTCGCACAGGGTGTCATCCAAGTACATGCCAACGCGAATGTACTAGCAGCCGCGAACGTACGTGAAGTCCCCGACCCTCTCCGCGACTATCCTATTGACAATGAGTGGCAGGCCGGATCCAACACCGTCTCGCTGTTTTCCATTGATCCCAATGCGCCTACCCGCTTAACGGCCGTTGGCACCCCCGTCTCATCAGGCGGGCACTTTCCAATGAGTGTGGCGTTCAATAGCGCGGGAGATACCCTGTGCGCGCTCAACTCGGGAGAGATGGCTGGTGTTCAGTGCTTCAATGTCAGCGCGACCGCTGGCTTAACTCCTATCGCCAGTTTCCGCACTATGGGTGGCAACTACAGCCAGACTACGCCACCAACGGGACCCGAGGGCACGGTTTCACAGATCGCGTTCACGCCTGATGATGGGCGCATTGCTGTTGCGGTCAAGGGCAGCGACTCACTCGGGCCTGGCTATGTGCAGACCTGGGACGTCCTCGATGATGGCAGTCTCAGCACAAATACGACCCAGATCCTCGCTCCCGCTGGCTCAATGTACCCGTTCTCGCTCACCGCTGTGCCCGGCCGCAATGCTTTCCTCGCAGCCGACTTCGCGAATGGCGCGGATGTCTTCGATCTGGATGCAAACACGGCTTCGTTGGTGAACGTAAGTGGGCAGGCCGCAACGTGCTGGAGCGCATACTCCGCGCGGACCGGCAACTTCTACACGAGCGACACCGGCACTGGCAACATCTCCGAGATTGCACTCGGAAACCAGGACGATGGTACAGCCGGCAGTGTTGTTGCAAGTTATCCGTTCAACGCCACAGCCGGTCCCATCGATGTGGAGGTCGCCGGTCTTACGAACGCAGAGTACGTCCTTCCTTACACTTCGTAGTGGATCTATGTTCATGAGCTGGCTGCAGCTACTTGTATATCCTTATGCCGGGAGCCATGGCTGTCGGCGTCATGCAGTTGAATGGTCCGGCTTCTGCTCAGGAGATGCAGGTCATGGATCTTGTTGGCCCTGCACAAACCGTTGGGATCAACATGAGCCCAGCCTATATTGCAGGCATGGCTGTATACGTCAAGCCAGTTTCGTCTTGAATCAATATATTCCCCATTCTTACTTCGGAATCGATCATGAGTCTCACGAGACTGTTGGATGCGCCGCCGTATATAATTGTATGCTTTCGCAGATACCGACGTGCTGCTACGAGAGTTACCACATCGGCAGACCTTCTGAATGATGACGTGGAGTACGGCTGTCGCGCAACTGAGCTTTCCTTGAAAGTACTATACGTTCTAAACGGAATTTAGTGATCCCATCGAATTTTCGGGTTGTCGCCGCCGCGTCGACCGGGGTTGCCTTTCGCCCACCATGTTTTAACCATGTTCATCATAACGTCCATTGCGGCTTCTGTCCGCCGTCCCCCTTTAATCTCAAGCTGCCACGCCTGATTGGTACGCATCGCATGTATGATACACAACGATGATCGCCGGGGTGTACAACGTGATTCCTATTACCACATATCGCATGCGTGAAACTCGGGTAGCCCTCGACGCGCGGGCATTGTTTCGAAGGTTTGCTTGTGCAATCGTGTCCGCCTAGCCCTGGTTCGTTTGCCGACGACGATGAGCTTATCTTTGAATGCTTTTCACTACAGCGATATACCTGTGCATGTTCATCCTTCCTGTGATAAATGCGGGAAGCGGGAGCGACTTTCGCGTTGCAGCAAATGCAAGAGGACCCAATACTGCGTACGTGGCCTTGACGTGTCATTTAATGAACGCTCGAAGCTCATATCACTCGTACATCTAGTCAAAGAAGTGTCAGTTTGATGCCTGGAAGGACCACAAGCACGATTGTAAGAACTGGCGAGCCGAAGCGGTCGATGGCGCGAACGCGACCGGTAACCCGAACGCGTGGGTCGACTGGGTAACGTGGATGGAGTACCATCGTGACAGCATCGGGAACGCAATGTTGGCCCATCATGGTCACAAGGGTGTAGGATCGGGGAAGAAATGGGTGTTGGGGATTCACGTTGAGTATAATCGTGAGGCTTCACTCGTGGAACGCAAATTCGATGTACGAGGCGTCAGGTTCATCGATGTGGAACTGGATACTCCAGCTGCCCATGGTTTTCGAGAGGCGATCAAGAACGTTGTGCCGCATCAGGAGCCGACTTCCGAAACAGATACTGGAGGGGAGTCAGAATCAACGCAGCCCGAGGAGACGTGCATCTGCCTCTTCTTCGTGAGTTTTGCTCCTGGGGCCCAAGGCTTCGGGGATTACCTTCGGTTCCGGTTTACGACCGAGCGACTTCGTGATCTGAGCGTGAATGCGTACATTCCGCCCGAGTACCTCTTGATGAAGATGTTGGAGGAGGGGAGAAGGTTCAGATACTGCTGTGGGGAGATTGGAGATACGTCAACTTGTTGCTGCGGCGGGTGGACGCACTGGACAATTGAAGAGGTCAGTCTTCTGAGTGATTCCTCGCAGACAGGGCCTTCCATCGCTAACTAAACTCCCGGGACTCCTAGGAACTCTTCCCGCTGGATAATCTCACTGGTATCTTTCGCGCACTGCTACTTCGAATGTCGCGCGAATGAGCTGATACTTCCTGTAGATGAAGAGCAAGAATTGCTGCAGGAGTCAGGATATTTTGACATGCCGGCGAAAACAGCCAGTGACGGTACGTTCACTTCCACGAGGAGCGGTCTTGATGCTTCAATCGATCTTCGACCATATGTTGATGTTGCCTCTCTCGTTAGGGAAGCCAAAGAAGAAGAAGAAACAGAAGAAGAAGAAGTCCAGGCAGCAGCCGCCCGCCGATTCGTCCACAAACCATGGAGAGCGCCCAGACCCACCGGACGACACAACTTCCGAGATACAGCCTACGACTATTCCTACGATGAATAATGCAATGTCTAGTACGGGCGCTTTGGTCGAGACCGACCTAGTGCGTGATGAGCACACTTTAGACGATGAAGTGCGTAGCAAAGACGCTTTAGTCGAAGACGATCTGGCTGTCAGCTCACCCAATGACGGAGATACTGTCGTTGACACTATTGAGCGCGCCTCGGCGACAATAGATAATGCGAATAGCGCTGATGACATTGATTTGCCTACAGATACGCAGAGTTCTGAAGGCGATACGCAGCCGAACACCATCAAGACTTCGCCTCTCGAGCCCGTGCGGTTCTGCGATAGTACGTGTTGTGATGGTGGGTCGCGTCTGCGAAGGATGTCAAACATTACGCGAGCTAAACCGGCGGCATAGATCCATTCGACGCGAATACGAAAGTACAAGATCACGTTGACACGATCCCGGCGCCATCTGTCGAAGAAGGTAGAGTCGCGATGTCATATTTGCTTTGGTATCCAGTCTCATCTATCCCGCAGGTGAAAGGGCAAGCTGGATCACCGTCAAGTTGACGAAAGCAAAGCAACGGGCTCAAGAGAAGACACGACTGCGGAGCACTTCGAACCCCGAATTGTCCATTACGACTCATGACAGTGCATCAAAGCACCAGGAATGTTCACCGAAGAATGCAGCAGCAACAGGAGAATCGCATGGAGGGCTAGACATACCGCCCGAAATGCCCGCAGAAGTTCCCACCGCGCTTCGAGTACCAGACCCGGCGGTCAAACGAGAACCTCTCTCGAGGATCGGTTCCCCTGGCTCCCTCACTTCGAAGTTCGATTCGACCTTCGCACCTACGAACCCGAGTACACCAACTCTTGCTCGTGAGCGCGCTCAGACTACGATCCCGGCCGCTGCGCCTGCTTTGGAGTCAAAGCAATCGGATGACATGGAGAGAAACCCAGGCTCTCTTGAGCTCGAATACTCCTCTGTGGCTTCTTCACGAGCGGTGTCGCTTGCGCGCGAGACCATGGTTAGCGATGCCATACTCAGACAGAAGCCGTCGCCTCGAGAGCATTATGAGCACCATCGACCCTCGCATCAACGGCAGATTCCTCCTCGTCTACAACATCCTGGATCGGCGCCGCAATCCGACTACACGCACCCTGCATACCCAGGACCACCCCCTGGGCTCGCGAAACCCCCAGTGCCTATGCCGTATCCCTACCTCAACATGTCGGCGACATCGTCCATTAATCCAATGCACCATCCGTTACATACCGGGCATGTCATGCACAACGCGATGGGACAACGCATCCTGGACGTGCCTTCGTTCACTCATCCTCAACCTGAATACGCACAACACGCGCCCGTACCAACCCGGCCCGACCCAGAACCCGCTCGCGCTGTGCAGGAAGCCATACGGGATCTCGAACGGGCCACACGGGCGCTACAAGTTGCCACGCAGGAATACCACAGGGCAGGCAAAGTGAACGAGTTCAAGGACGCTGTGCGTAGGACTGCTTGCGCTCGAGGTGTGACCACGGGTACTCAGGAGCAGGTACGCTGCCCGTACGCGGAGAATGACGAGTCGCCGAGGGCCCTAGGTTCTGCATAAGGGCGGGACCATCGTCAACAGCCGATCTTCGGTCCCACGATGGATGACGCGGAGTTCGCCGCCAGGGGAAACCGAGGATTTGGTCGCTGGGGATCTGGAGGGATTGAACCAGGGGATGTATAGTACAGCGACCCACGTAACCGAATATCGTAATGCCTTCGAAGTCGATGCTATGCATGCTTGCCAGTTGCTTGCCAGCGCAAAGCCTGAAGTGCCCAATTACCTGCCTTGCTTCGTCATAGACTTCGGCGCGATAGAGCGGCCTCTGCGCGTATGACGGTAAAGAATCGAGGTTCAATGGGATCGAATAGGTTGTAACGACGGAATAGAGCTGCGTGAGCACCGGCGGCGGGAAGACATCGGAGACCGTGAGATGATGATGATGGCAGGTGCCACACGCCGATGTCATAGCCCGAACTCAAACAGCGCGTCACCTGCGCGTGTACGCCGATACAAGAGCTCGCACTAACCGACCAATCCTGGTCTTGACATCTCACCCCCCCTCTATTGCAATCAGCCATTCGCGCCTTCAACCCAACCGACCCAACGATGTCCTCCAGCGCCCGCCGCATCGCCGAACAGCTCTTAGCCCCCAATCGTCCCGCGCCTCCCCTACGCCCGAAGCGCCCGTACAGCACTGAGCTCAAGGACAACATCAACAGCCTGCGCGATCCGGCGCCTATCCGTGCTGCATTGCATCTCGCCAACGACGATGTCGATTCCGCCCACGATACGGCTCAGAGTGATCAGGGGACGAGCACGAGCGATTATGTGCACGCTCAGCTGCATAGGAGGGAAGGGGACTATTGGAACTCGAAGGTGTGCTCCTGTTCGCTCTATGGATGCATAAGAAGGGAGGGCTGAACGAGATTCTGCATAGTGGTGGTTGGGTACGGGTATGAAGCAAAGTCACCCTATACTCGATCAGATGCACGGAGGGTTCAAAGAAGGCAAGGTATTCGTCGATAGATGTGAGGGTGTGGGGAAGGGAAAGAGTAGCGATGGCGAGCTGGAGAAGAAGCAGTGGGAGGAGATCAAGGCTACTGTCGAGTACGCTCTGGAGCACGATGCGAAGTAGGGCATAGATCTCGTATCGAGAAGGACATGTATCGTTATGTACGTATTCGTATTGAACAGACGGATGGTATCGGTATCATGTGAAGATCTTCGAAAAGTACTTCTGCAGGCCTCCGGAGCCCTTGAGTAGTCCACCAACTACACCGTCCGGTCTGATAACCGCGACCTTGACCCCAGCTTCTACCCCGTACGCGCGCTGAGCGTGGCCCTGAGAGTCGGTGTACACATCCACGCCTGCGACGCCGTGACCCTCTGGCAGCGCGGCTATAACACGAACGCTGCCCTTAGGGTACCCCGCTGCGACGGCCGCAACTGCCCGAAGGATGGACTTGTCGAGTACGACGACCGTATGATACGTCGGCTTCAAGATATCGAACAGCTCTGTGCTCTTTCCCTGGCCATCCACAAGGCCAGGCGCGTCAGGCGCGCGATCGCCTGCCCTCAGCCTCTCCGACTTATCCTTCCCATACACATCCTCAGGCTCAACACTCGTACCCTCCACATCACCCGCTCCTCCCTCAAGAAGCTCGTCGAAGACGACAGAGCTCCAGCGGCAGTGGACGCCGAGCTGCCGGAGCGCGGGTGGGCGCTGCCAGGCGGCTTTGGACATGTCGGTCGATTTGAACGCTTTGGAGGCCATGGAGTTCGTCATGCGGAGCATCTCGCGGAGGACGGGGAGGCGCTCTTCTTCGTAGGTTGAGAGGAGGGTGAGAGGGGAGGAGTGTTTGAGGGTGAAAGCGAGTTTCCAGGCGAGGTTCATCTGTACAAGGATAGCGAAATCAGCGGACGGAGAAGAGGAAAGGGTGTGGTAGAGGGAGACTTACAGCGTCGAGCACACCGCTATTCAACCCCTGTCCACCAACAGGACTATGGCAATGCCCCGCATCACCTGCAATAAACACTCGTCCGACTTGCAGATGATCCGCCACGCGCTCGTTCAGCTTCCATTCGGCGACATTGCGCACTTTGTGCACTACGAGCTCGGGGCGGTGCGAGATGAGGCGGAGTTGTTCTTGGAGAAAGTCTTTGGATTCCATGAGGCGTTGAGGGGGGAAGGTAGTGGCGACGAAGAAGATGAAGTAGGCGGAGGGGTCTTCGGGGATTCGGCGGATGAGGGTGCGGTTCTTGTTTGCGTCGGAGAAGTTGTGCATGATCTGTGGTGAGCGCAAGCCGAGGTTAGCCAGCGTACTGATACAGCGTGGTGCGTGCACTCACCATATCTCGAACTTCCTCTTCGGTGTCAAAGTTCAAAAGTTCGATGTCGCCGATGACCGCTCGGATATCCATGTCTGTCGCGCCGACAAAGTTGATTCCGGCCGTACGACGCGTAGGACCCTTGGCACCGTCTGCACCGACGAGGAACTTGGCACGCACAGTCTCGGTCTGTTCCTCGGCACCGTTCACCTTGAGAGTAACGATGATGCTGTCGTCGTCCTGCTCGAAGGAGACCATCTCGGTAGAGAGCTCGACTTGTACGCCGAACTTGGAGAGATGAGAGCGGAGGATGGCGCAGTTGCTGTCTTGGCCGAGCGTCATCCCGTTGGGCTGCAGACAAGTGAGCCATCCAGTTTAGACGTGAGGCATTAGGGGAGACATACGAGAGGGATCTCGGGCGTAGGCTCCATCTTCGATCTGAACGGGACTTGGGCCGTAGGCTTCCCCTCCGCGTCATAAGAACGCATATTCGAGATCTCGAAGGTGCCCTTCTTGATGAAGTCATCCAACACGCCGAGGAACTTGTAAGCTTCGAGCGAGCGCGGCTGTGAAATTGTGGAAAGTTAGTAATAGGCGACAAACAAGGAGAAGTGGCGCGAACTGACCTGCAGACCGGCGCCGCGCTGGCCGATGTGGTCGAAGTTAGGGGACTTGTCGATGATGCGGACTGATACGCCGTTCTGCGCGAGTACGAGTGCAGCTACGAGGCCGACTGGTCCTGCGCCGACCTACGAAACGTTTGATCAGGATGGTGAAGTGAAAGCCAAACGCGGAGAACTTACGACGAGAACGTCGATGTTGTACTGAGACTGGGCAGAAGACATTGTTGTGAGTGTTTTGGACAACAGAAGTGTTCGACTGAGAAGTTGCTGTATGAAGAACCGACAGCTGAGACTGTACGCCAGAATATATACCAACCCCGTCTTCGGTTTGAGCCGAGTAAAAAATGATCCCGACGGATGAGGTTCACGAGGTAGGAGCGACAGGAGCCACGAAGTCGAGTTCGGCCGTTTGTCTACGCAAGCTGAATAGAAGATCTAGTAGACTCGGAGTACCTGGTCCGCCGTACAGGTGCGCAAGTGCCGGCTGCGTGCGGGCCGGCCGCGGAGACGCGTCAACGAGGCTACGGGCTGGTGGACGCGCAGAAGCGCGGCAGGACGCGTGTTGGTAGTTTGTGCTTTCGTTGGTGGTCGAAATTCATGCGCAGTCTACTGAAGCGCAGTAAAAATCTCGCGAGGCGAAGACCTGAATAGACTGGGGGCAACCATCTATTGCACCTGGTGTTGTCTACGATTGGTTTTACTGGAATTCATGCGGGAGGATGGTGTATTGGCACTGGGCCTCAGCGGGTAGCACTAGGAGCTGTACGACTGAGGACGACTGCCGTCATATTCGTATGCACGACCATGACGGTTGGAAGCAGAGAGTAAAATGCCCGAAATAACGGCGATCACGTCACCGCGCGTCTGCTGAACTGCGTGCCGGTGCCGCGCCTGGATCTCGATCAGAGTCGAAGTCCTGTGCGCTCGCCACCATGGACGCGTTCGAGGACGACAACCCGTTCGCGCAGGACACAACCGCCCAGTCCTCCAACTCCTCAGAAGACCATGTGACCGTCTCGATACCCTCCTCTCCCAACGCACCCGCCTCCGCCTCCAGGGAACAGTCATACTTATCCCCTACTTCGCCCACAAGACCGCCCTTCCCTTCGCCTGGCACTGGTGGATTTCCTAGACAGTCTGGAAAGGACGATTATTGCTGCTACCGCGATCAGTGGTTGCACGGTGACGATGCGGAGGTTCTGGTGTGTTCAAGTTATAGCGCTTTGTTTGAATGGGGTTATTGAACATAGGGTCAATAGATCGTTGATGCGGTAAAGACGAGCGAACATGCGTCCTCGCCATACATCGCATACGTCATCAAGTCCGGCGTACGCTTCTACATCCCGTCCACTACATCTATATACTGACTACGGTCCTTGCAGAACGCAACTGCACGGCACCGGTATTCCGAGTTCGAGTCTCTCAGGAACGGGCTTACTCGGCTCTACCCGACGCTCATCATCCCGCCCATACCCTCCAAGCAGAGCATCGGCGAGTATGCGATCAAACAGGGAAAGGCGAAGGAAGACGCGAACATGATCGCCAGGCGCCGTCGCATGCTTCAGACGTTCCTCAACCGTATCTCTCGCCACCCCATCCTGTCCAACGAGCACGTCTTTCACCGATTTCTCGACGGTGAAGTATCATGGGTCTGTGTTCTTCTCTATTGTATCGCAAGCTACGCACTAATATATACGGCTACAGTCGGAAATCATGAACTCGCCACCCTTGAGCCTACTTCCCAAGAACCTTCTGAAGGCGCCCGCACACAATCCTACCGACCCTCAAGCATCACCCGCATATCAAGCCTTGCCTAATCCATCCGCACTACATCCTCTACGTCGCCCGGATCAACGCTTCATGGACTCTGAGGTATTCACCAACAAGTTCGCTGCACATCTCGGTGGCCCGATGGAGAAGGTCACCAGACGGACGATGAAGCGGTGGTCAGGTATGTATCTCCATTTGCCATATGCGGTGAACCCGGCGGACTTCGACCTTCGTTGCCCGTCTGTCATGGTCGTCAGCGCCACAAACCCTCCGCACCTGGCTGTTTTTGGACATGAGCGCTAACCTCGTGTTGTAGAGTTCGCACAAGACCATATGGACCTGGGCGCAGCATGGAACGGCTTCAGCTTAAACGAGACCGGTCAATTGGCTACTGCTATCGAGAAGTCGGGCCAAGCGATCGACGCGACGTACATGTCTACCGCTCGCCTCGTATGTGCACCCCACTACTTCATTCACTGCCTCATTCTGACTTGTATGCATTTCCTTACAGATGCAGGACCTCGAGCAGAACTGGCAAGAGCCCCTGCACGAATACGCCCAATTCGCGAGCATAATCAAGCGCTTACTCGCATATCGCCACCAGAAGCACGTTCAGCTCGAGATGACCCAGGACGCGCTTGAGGCGCGCAAAGAGCAGCTTACGGAACTTGAGAAGTCCGAGCAGGAGGCGAGGAGGCTTGAGGAGGCGCTTGGGAGGGGGCGTGTGGCTGGCGGGTATGGAGGTGGCGGTGCTGCAGTGGGAAGTCCCACGAATGGGGGAAGGACTTCATCTGCTGCTGCCGAGGGCGCGGAGGAGGGTGAAGGCACGGGCACGAAGCCAGGGCCAGAGGATGAAGACCCGGAAGACGCCGATCCGGCATCATCCTACCTCCCTCCTCACCCCGGTCCTTCCCCTCCCACCTCTCGCCGACGCGTACCAGGAATGGGCCTCCTCAATGCCCTCTCCTACACCCTTCACGGCATGATGGATGCCGACCCCGAAACGGCGCGTCGCGCGGGCATCGGGAAGACGAGGGAGAACATCGGGCAGTTGGAAGACGCGCTGCATCTGGCGGCGCAGGATCTGAAGTACGCGAGCTCGACGATTCAGGCGGATTTGGATCGGTTTCAGAGGCAGAAGGTTGCGGATCTGAGGAGGATGGGCATTGAAATGGCTAAGAGTCATAGGGATTGGTGTAAGAAGGTATGTTCGGTCTCTTGCTTGATTCTCGTATTTGTGAATAAGCGCTCATGCGATGCGCTGTTCAGAATCTGGAAGCTTGGGAAGATGCGCGCCGCGAGATCGCGCTCATCCCGGACCACCCGAATCGCGCACCGCCACCCGCTGAGCCGCTCGCTGGCCCGAGTACGAGTACGGATGCGAATGGAGCGGGACCGAGTACGCGTCGCGATTCGACTGCTACTGCTACGGGGCGGTAATGGGACAGATGGGCCTATGATGGTGTTACTGACAGACGATTGTTCGCTTTATCTTATTCATTGTCTTTGTTGAGTTACGATTGGATGGTTGTGGGTAATGATTGACGTTGTTTTTGTTATCTAGTCGAAGTGACGCCCTCCGTCGACGTTGATCTGAGTGGCTCAGTGAGTTTGGCGCCGGGATGCAACGTCAAATGAAGAGCGCACGCATTGGCCTGTGATCGCTTTCGCGTCTTCGGACGCGAGGAATGATACGATACCCGCAACGTCCTCGGTCGTCGCAATCTTTCCCAACGCAGTCTGCTTCGCCACTTGTTCCTCGAGCGCACCCTCTGGTGCACCCAACACGTCCTCAAACCCTTCATCTGGCGGCAATACGATCAGCGTTGATATTGATGCGAAAGGAGGTCGCATACACATTGGCGTCTTGACTGGACCGGGAGAGTAGGCGTTCACAGTGATTCCGTGCGGTCCGAACTCGAGCGCCGCGCACTGAGTGAGCGCTCGGATGGCGGCTTTGCTAGCCGAATAGGCCGAGAACAGTGCCTCGCCCTTTTTGCCTGTGCCCGAGCAAGCACCTACGTTGCATCCGTGAGCTCAGCTCTGGATGGGCACGATGACATGAGGACACACCGATGATGCGCCCGCCGCGCCCCTGCTCGATCATCTGTCGCGCGGCGCAGGTGTAACAGTGAAATGTCCCTTGGACATTCACGGAGAGGATAGTGTTCAACTCTGTCGTGGATGTATCGAGTATGGGTCTCATTAGGCAGACGCCGGCATTTGCTACCATCTGAAGAGGACATAAATGAGGATATAGTGCAGGGCGGAGGATGCGAGAGGCGTACGACGTCCAACGAACCAAGATCGTGAACGACGCGCGAGATCATGTCGCGGACTTGAGTTTCGTTTGATACGTCCGCGGTCACGACCGTACACCATCCTTGAACCTTCTCGCGAAGGTCTGCTACGGCCTGGCGCAGTGCGACTTCGTTTGAGGGCAAGTCGGCCAGAGCTACGGCATACCCGTCCGACGCTAGACGGTGCGCGATGGCGAGTCCGAGACCTTGTGCTGCGCCTGTTATGAGTGCGACGCGGGGTGAAGTTGTGCGGACGGCCATAGAGCGCGGTGAGCGAGGTTGTTGGGCTCGCTTTGGGGCCTCATACCATATACAAGCGGTTCAACCGAGTACCAAATCAGCGCGCGAATCCTCGCACCCGAGCAATTGACGATGATTGAACGTTTGAACTCTGATTCTGGGATGGCAACGAGTCTGCGCCCTCCTGACTTGACGCAGCTTACGCGCATGCGTGCAGTCTCTTTGTGCATACGCTTGTCGCTTCGAGAGTAAACGCAGCCAGACTGTTAGTTGGAGGACCGTGCGTAATTCTATCCGAGATGAACGTGAGAGATGCGTAGTCAGATGACCGCGTTTATGGATCCTTGGCGAGCCTTGGCGGTGCGCATGTTTGCTCTAAGGTCGCGCGTTGCCTCGCTTTGCTGTGCTATACTGTCTCTCTTCACCATTCTCCGTCGTTCCAAAGCCCTTCGCGCTCACTCAAGGTCAAATTTGGTAGAATCGGTGCATTCGAGGCAGAGACGATTATGGAACAGTAGGTAGAAAGTAGCGAAGAGAGATTACGAAGCCCAGAGGCGGCGAAGAAGTAATGTATGATATGGTATGGTTCCGAGAAGAGTCTAGATGTGTCCAAATCGTGTTCAATGCTGTAGGTAGAAGCGTAGTGCGTAGTGCGATATCCAAGGAAGGTTGACTGGGATGATGTTGCCGAGAACGATGAGACAGAAAGCGAGTACGAGCGGAGATGTGCGTGGCAGAACTAGAGGAATAAAGCGACGACGAGAGAAGAGACGATGTAGTACGGGTGCGATGGCAGAGCCGATGCGAGGGAAAGAGGTGCGTGGTGCGCGGCGGATGCGAGATGTGACGGTTGACAGCGGCCGATGGAGTCAGCTCCAGAGCTGTGAGGCCGGAGGAGCGAGGTAGTTGTGTTCTGTGACGTGCTCGGTCGAGACGCAGAAGCTGATTGAGGCCGACATAGGCGGCGGGATGATGTTGAGTGCCTTGTGGGCAGTGAAGACCTGGAGTGGCGGGCACTCAGGCTTCTCGAAGGGGACCATCTCGTGGATGGTCGAAGATGAAGGAAAGCTCGAGGTGAAGAGACGACCGAATAGGAGGAGGTCGTCTTCGCTGGTGCTCGTGAGGCAGTCATCCTCGGCGGCGTGCCCCACTGAGACGTAGAAACTAGTCGAGGCCGACAGAAGCGGCGATGTAATGTTGGGTGACTTAGAGGCAGTGAAGACCTGCAGTGCCGGGCACTCGGGCTTCTCGAAGGAGACCATATCGCTAATGGACGAGGATGAAGAGACGCTCGAGCCAAATAGACGGCCGAGAAGAAGGATGTCAGAGCTGCTGGTGCTCATAGAACCCGAGGAAGAGGTTGATTGCAGAGACGTGGTGTCAGGTACGAGCATCTTGCTCGCAGCCACGGGCTGGAAGAAGTCGGTCGTAGGTACCAACGGGCTCGGTGGTGGGGTTGGTAAGATGTCCTCAATCGGGTTTGCAATCTGCGCCTTCTCAACGGAAGTGGGCGGGCCCGGGAAAGCGTCCAAAATAGACGTGAGTGAGGACGACGAGTCGGAGCTCGGGTAGCTGCACGAAGAGCTTGCAGTGCTGTCAGAAGATCTGTAATAGTAGAGCGTCAGCATGATGGTGTGCGAGCGATATGAGGTCGACGTACGATGGAGCAAACTCATTCGACGCCTCTGTGCGATGGCGGAGGAAGTCCTCGACCCACTTAGGGGCTTCGATGACGGGAGTTGGAGGGGGAGTATCGAGGCCGATACTTGCAGGCGGCGTCGCCTCACGATGAAAGATACGCTTAGCGGGAGCGGGCTCGTCTAGTCCTGGAAGTTCCGGAGTGTAGATTGCCTGAAGAGGCAGTATAGGCGTATCCGAGTATCTATATCTCCATGAGCAACTGGTCGTTAAAGCAGTCGTGACTGCAAGTGCTTACGATGATAAAGTCCTCGGTAGCCGTGCACCACGAACGAGGTTGAAGTCCTTTCTAACGATCGGGGAGGAGTACGCGGCCGCGGGTGACTGAAGCGACTCGACGAGATCCAATGATTCGAGCCCAAACGTGGGCGTAGATGTAGGGCGGGACGAGGGCGCCGGGATGGGTACGAGCGTCCAGGACGAGAATATAGCACGATAGTGAAGACGACGACGAAAACCAAGATGATAGAAGAGGCCGACGGAAGTGGCCGTGAAGGCGAGGATGGAACCGAGGATGATGAAGATGAGAGCCCAAGACGGGAGAGCAGTTGTGATGGTGTTGGTGGCGAACATGGTGGCTGATTGTGTGTGCTGGTGGCTGACGTTGTGTTTGTGGGCGAGGTGTATTGACTCTGCGACTGTGGTGGTCCTGGGATGTCGATAACCTGCTCGAACAGGCCGTACTTTATACGTGGTGCGAGATCAGTCCAAGACCTGCGCGAGGATGTTGGGGCAATATGCGACTTACGACCAGGCTGAGTCCTTGCAGTCTCAGACTGTGTAACATTGGCCGACTATAGCGGGTTCCATAGGCCTCATCAGCTATAACGACGTAAAGCCGTCCGCGACCATGATGCCTTACAAAAGAGATGGAGAGCTGGATGGCTGCTTGTACCTTGTGGGAGTACTGGAGCCACAGGCAGTATGAAATGCAAAAATGGTCGTGAGGTCGCGAAGTGTAGGTGAAATAATGCGCTTGTGCGGTGTCCAGAACAGCGCAGACCCATGTCAGTCTAGGACTGACATTGCCATATGATTGTGTTCGCCTGTGAAGCGGGTCAGAACTTATACGATATGTCATAATGCACTCTTCAGATGCGCCGATGAGAGTATGATGATTGGTAGTTATGTAGAACAGCAGGGGAATAGGTAGCTGTGAGTAGTCAAAGGTTCGCCGCCTCCAGTATCAAGTGTCAACGTATGAGGCGTGACCGGGTATATCGGACTCGAGCACAATCCTTTTGCGCATGGCCTAGGATAGTCTCAGCATCAGGCCAATTCCAGATGTGGAGAAGGCGGGATTGTGGTAGTCGTGTCATGGTTGTTGAAGACAGCGAACTGGGCGCTGCAATCAACAAGCGCACGGGGTGGGCTCGGCAAGCCGGTCCGAACCAACCTTACTTTTGTCACCAGGCGCACGCCGCTTTCAACTCTTGTGGAGACACAAGTACATTTCGAAGCAGTAAACAGACATTGCATTGATACAGGTAGAAACACTTGATCTTCTTGTGCAACTCGTACAGGTAACAGCAGCGCAAAAGCAAGATAATCTTAGAGTCAACTCGGAAAAATATTTAGTGCACGATTTCGACGCAGAGGTCGCCCTGGTTGATCGAGTCGCCTGCAGTACCATATAAGATGTCATGAAGCCAGACAATGTAAAGGGGGGGAACGCACCTTCGTGAACAGTGACACGCTTGACGTGTCCAGACACGGGCGCCGTAACAGCGCTCTCCATCTTCATAGCGCTCAACACGCAAACCGGGTCACCCTTCTTAACCTCCTGACCCTCCTTCACGCGAACCTCAACAACAACACCGCTCATGGGCGCGCCCAAGCTTCCCGGGTCGTTCGTCGCCTTCTCGCGGGACACAGTCTCGACGGCGGAGTTCTTGTCCTCGACGCTGACAGCGCGCACCTCGCCGTTGACTTCGAACCAGACGTCGCGCTGGGCTTTACCCTCGACGACGGGGCCGACAGCCATGAGGCGGATGATGAGCATCTTGCCCTCCTCGATCGAGATCTGCATCTCTTCTCCGACGTCGGGTCGCGAGAGGAAGTAACGCGTGGGCACGACAGAGAGGTTGCCATACTTCTCGAGGAAGGACTGGAACTCCTCAAAGACCTAGACTGCCGTCAGCATCTATCTCTTCAACATGAAGGAGAACGGCAACGCACCTTCGGGTACATAACGTACGATGTGACGTCGGCGTTCGTGATGTGCTTGCCGAACTTGCTCCTGAGCTCAGCCTTGAGCGTCTTGAAGTCAATCGGCTGCATGCTCGCGCCAGGCCTTCCATCGATGCGCGGCTTGTCGCGGATGATCTTGCTCCTGAGCGGCTCAGGGAAACCACCAACAGGCTGTCCGAGGTAACCCTGGAAGAACTCGACGACGGACGAGGGGAAGTCGAGGTGCTCCGCACGCTCGAGGACGTCCTTCTTCGAGAGGTTGTTGTGGGTCATGAACTGTGCAAAGTCGCCGACGACCTTGGAAGAGGGCGTGACCTTGATGATGTTGCCGCAGAGCTCGTTCGCCTCGATGTACTTCTTCTTGACCTCCGTCCACTGCGTGCCGAGACCAAGCTGTTGCGCTTGGAACTATGAAGCCGCCATCAGCAACCAGTCATCCACGTTTGATCATGAGACTCACCATGAGATTCGTGTACTGACCGCCGGGCATCTCGTGGTCGAAGACCGACGAGTCGCTTGCGCGAACGTTCGCCTCGAAACACTGGTACAAGATGCGCGCCTGATTCCAGTACAAGTTGAGAGCCTGGATATCCTCATAACGGATGCCCGTCCCAAGACCGCTCTGCTCGAGCGCCATCGTAACCGCACCCATGGGTGGCTGACTCGTCAGGCCGCTCATGCTGTCGATAGCAACATCAACGACATCCGCGCCGGCCGCAGCAGCCGCGATCATCGAAGCCGTGGAGATACCGGCGGTATCGTGCGAGTGAACGTGGATGGGCAGGTCGGGGTACTTCTCGCGAACAGCGCTGATGAGGATGCGCGCGGCCTCGGGCTTGAGCAGACCGGCCATGTCCTTAATACCGAGAACGTGGATGCCCTCGCCGACGAGCTGACCGATGAAGTCGAGGTAGTACTGGAGGGTGTACTTGGTCTCTTTCTTGCTCGCAACGTCGCCGGAGTAGCAGACAACGGCCTCAACGACACCACCAGCCTTCTTTGCCGCGTCTATACCGAGCTTCATGTTCTCTGCAGACCTTCAATCACCACGTGTTTCAGCAGCAGAGCAATGGACGTACCGATGTAGTTCAGCGAGTCGAAGACACGGAAGATATCGAGACCGTTCTCAACGGCACGCTTGCTGAAGTCGTAGATCGCATTGTCGGGGTAGCTGGTGTAGCCGACACCGTTAGCGCCACGAACAAGCGCCTGAAGCGGCACATTCGGCACGAGCTTGCGGATAGCGCGCAAGCGCTCCCACGGGTCCTCGTACAAGAACCGCATGGCAACGTCGAAGGTCGCGCCACCCCAGCACTCAAGCGAATACGCGTTGGCGAGCGCGTGCGAGGTCTCCTTTGCGATGTTGAGGATATCAATGGTACGGAGGCGAGTGGCGAGCAGGGACTGGTGGGCGTCACGCCAGGTGGTGTCCATGATCAGGCAACCCGGGTACGCGCGGACGGCCTTGGCAAATGCCTCGGGACCTTGCTCGACGATGATGTTGCGCCAGCCGACCTCGCAGGGGATCGAGGTGTCGACAGGCGGGCCATCGGGGTCGTCGCGGTTCTGCAGCTTGGGAATGACAATCTCGTCCTTGAGGCCGGGCTCGCCCTACAGCGGGACGTCAGCAAGTAACTAAAATGGTCTTAACCAGAGAAACGCACGGTCTGGCCCTTGATAGAGGAGCCATTGACGGCGATGTCGCCGAGGTAGGCGAGAAGCTTTTGTGCGCGGTTCTGGCTCTGGACAAGCTTGAAGAGCTCGGGTGTGTCATCGATGAACTATGGGGCGTGAGCTTGTTGCGCCACAGCTACATGCACTCGGTTCACATACCGTAGTCCAGGTCTTGCCGCCGACGAACACGTCGTGGGTGAGTAGGCGGAACAAGAAGGGAATGTTGGTCTACGGGCGCGCATCAGTAAAGTCGCACGAACAGGGGCTGCACGAAGAAGCGCCCACCTTGACGCCGCGAATGCGGAACTCGACGAGCGCGCGCAACATTTTCCTGCGAGCGACCTCGTACGTCGTGCCGCTGACGGAGACCTTAACGAGGAGCGAGTCGTAGTGAGGCGTGATTTGTGCGCCGGCAAAGCCAGAGCTGGCGTCGAGGCGGACACCGTTACCACCAGCTGAGCGGTAGACCTCGATCTTGCCCGTATCAGGCTGGAAGTTCTGTGCTGCATCCTCGGTAGTGACACGGCACTGGATAGCGAAACCGCGCTTGGTGATAGCTTCCTGAGTGAGGCCAAGCTGGGGGAGTGTCGCACCGGCTGCGATCTGAATCTGGGCGGCGACGATGTCGATGCCGGTGATCTCCTCTATACGCACGTTCGTGAGAAGAGAACTCAGATGAAAAGATGACGTAGAGATACGTACCAGTGATGGTGTGCTCGACCTGAATACGCGGGTTGATCTCAATGAAGTAGTGGCGGCCCATCTGGTCGACGAGGAACTCGGCTGTACCGGCGTTGCGGTAGTGTACATGCTTGGCGATCTTGATCGCGTCCGCGAGGATCGCCTGTCGCACTTCCTCGGGAAGATGTGTTGCGGGCGCAACCTCGACGACCTTCTGGTGGCGGCGTTGGACGGAACAATCACGCTCGAAAAGATGGATGGTGTTGCCGTGGGCATCAGCCAGAAGCTGAACCTCGATGTGGCGCGGGCGCTCGAGGAAACGCTCGATGAAGACAGTTCCATCACCGAAAGCGCTCTTGGCCTCGGAGACAGCACGTTCGAAAGAGGTCTTGAAGTCGCTCTGCTCGCGTACGACACGCATACCGCGACCTCCACCGCCCATAGCGGCCTTGATGATGACTTTGACACCGTTAATTCCACTCTATCTCCGCAAACAGCGCAGAAATACCTGGGAAGCCGTACTCCTCGATGAACGAGTTGGCATCTTCGTACGACGCGACCGCACCAGCTGTGCCGGGCACGACGGGTACGCCGACGGCCATCGCGACATCGCGAGCCTTTGTCTTGTCGCCGAGCGCGTCGATGGCTTCGGGGGTCGGGCCGATGAAAGCGATACCGGCCTGCTCGACCTTGCGCGCGAACTCTGCGTTCTCAGAAAGGAAGCCGTAGCCGGGGTGGATCATGTCCACGCCATGTTCGAGCGCGATCCGGATGATGTCCTCCTGCGCGAGATAGGCGCCGACGGGCGTCAATCCGGCCCCGACTTGGTAGGCCTCGTCCGCCTTTTGCCTGTGGGCGCTCATCCTGTCCTCGTGCGAGTAGATCGCGACAGTGTGCATCACGAGCTCGTGCGCCGTCCTGAACACTCGGATCGCGATTTCCTGTCAGTATTCGTGAGCCGATTACACTTGTAGATCTAATCGGGAAAGAGACGAACACCGCGGTTGGCGACGAGGATCTTGGTGAGATGGCCAGAGTGGCCGGCCTGCTTCCTGCGCATGGTCTGGATGGAGTGCACCGGAGTGCCGGGCACGCTCGGCGTGCCCGCAAAGATGTGCGCCAGGCGCGGCGGGTGGAGGGCGGCCTGCGGTTGGGTCATGGTAGCGAGTGCAAAGCGGGGGCGCAGTAAGGCGGCACTCGAGCTTTATAGGCTAGCGCTGTAGATTATACTTCGGAACTGGGCCCTGATAACCGCCGCGCTCCCACTCGGGTCTGGGGAGTTCGTCGAGATGTTCGATGGTAGAGAAGCAGAGAATTGGGAAAGGCGCGCTCTGGGCAGCTGTTTGTTTTGGCTCGCGCCGAGCCCGCCTCAACGTCACTGATCTTTCTCTTTCGGCCGATCCAATGAACGTCTTCCGGTACGCAACTACCAGTACACTACACGCTTCGTACACAGCTGTACATACGCCGGCGGAGGATGCTTATCGGTGATCCCTTCCTGCTCATCGTCTGACCGACCCTGCACTATCCACTAAAGTCAGCGCGCCTTCCTGCCAGTGCGTCACTCCAAGATCTATTCTCCGCCTCAGCGTCTCCCGGCTGTTCGGCGCTCTTCGTCCCGCTTCTAAGCAGAACGCGCAGCGGCGGTTGACACTGACAGAGCACTCCGCGCCATGAGAACGCGCTTGGGAGGCGTTACGGGGAGTTTGACCTATATGAGGCTTGGGAGAGCGCCGCGCGCTGTTATCTTGACTGTTATGCCCGCACGTCCCAAGACATCTGCATCAGAGTCTGTCAGAGAAGACGGAGAACTTCTCAACGCTGTGCTACGAAGGCAACAGGAAGACTCCAAGAAGTATCCTTGTCATCGCGCGAAGCAGCGCCCAGCGTTTCTTGGGTGCCTCTGCCGCTCGCCTCATTCGCGGCCCGCGCCGGCTTCCCTCGCTCGGCGAATCGAGCATAGAGCGGACCGACTACGAGGTCGTTCCCGACGGTCCGTTCGTAGGTCACGCTTTGTGGACGCAAATATAGATTGGTGTAGAGAGGGATCGCGTATGCTCGAGTTGGAGGCTGGTTATCGCTGTGGCGCAAACACGAGGCGATCGTCTGCACTGCGGACGTAAGCGAGTCGCCACTCACAAGAGATGGCAGCGCGTCTTCGCAGCGTTCGCAGCACCTGCTCAAGACTTCTTGGCCTTCACGGCGAACATGCATCGCGCGTCTCTCGTTTTATGTGAGCTCGGAGGGAGAAGCGGAACTACACACGTTGTACGGTAGTACGAAGATAGCACCGAGCGCGTCTGATTGGTTGATAGTGATCAGTACGAGTACAGCTGCTAATCCACGATGAGATGCCAACGAGTGTACTGGGGTACTCGAGACCTCACGCCGCCTGCGTACTGACGTCGGTTTCCAAGAGTCGAACGATATTCCATCCATGCGCTCGTTTCGGCGCTGATCTAGTACTCTATGCCACGGGAATATATACATATCGCGCACCTCCGCACACGCCACCGCTCACCCAAGAAGACACACGTCGACATTACTACCGCTCCATCGTCTCATACGTATAAGGCGTTATGGTTTGCGCGTTGTGAGCGGGATAACAGGCTCTGCAGCTTCGGCCTTCTTCTGGTTGTTCTTCGCGACCGCATAGACGATCCCGGCAAGGAAACCGGTGCCCACCGCGCTCACGCTGCCGAAGGTTACTGCGTCGCCGAAGAAGATCATGCCGGAGGCGGCAACGGGGAGCTTATTCAACGCGCCGACCATGCTGTGGCAATATATAAGCATGATTGCGAGGAGACAGTGAGTAGCAGATGGGACTTACGAGTAGGTCGTGCTGCTTGTTACACGGATGCACCATGCCGTTGTGTATGAAATGCCAACGGCGGCAGCGCCAGAGAACGCGATGGCAAACAATAGCAAGTTGCGTGACTCCGCCGGGCTGATCGACAGATTAGCGCTCAAGCCATGAACCGACGAGGAAGCACGACGTACAAGTTCTTGGCCAGGTTCTCAGATCCCCAGTCCTCAAAGATGAGGGAGAAGACGATGAGGACGGGTACGGAAAGCAGGTTGTTGTAGAACATGGAGTCCCAGTCGCTGAATCCGGTGGCTTTGATGCGCTTGCGCATCGTCAAAACCTGTTCAATGGAGACGTTCATCAATACTCATCGGGAACGTATAGGAAATGCGACGTACGTAGCCAGCCGATGCGAGACAGTTGATGAGCATCCAGAAGTAGCCTGCGTTTAAGTTGCGCACGGCGTCCGTTACTGCTCCCAGGCCGACGCCCGTGCCAGGTGCCGTCTCCGCTGCGCCCTTTACATCGGACCATGCAGCAATAATCGAGGAAACGACCTTCCACACTATTCAGTTGCGCGTTCGGCAGCCAATGGCAGTACACATGACATACCATGAGAATGAACGAAACGAACGTGAGCGCCGTCACGCGTCCACCGAACCAGATGACCTCTCCATACGCGATGAGAATAATCGTCAAGTTCTTGAAGATGGTGTATACGGGGATGCTGAGGTATTGCAAGGACTTGGAGCCGGTGTAGATCACGAGGACGAGCATGAAGCTGATCGGGAACCACATCTTCGCGTCTTTCATGTCGAAATCCCGGAAAGATATGATGCCGGCACGTTTGACACCGTAGACGCAGGCACTGCAGACGGCGCTCTGGATGCAGAGTAGGAGGAAGTTCATGCTGAAGTTCGCGCCTGATACCACGAACTGTACAAGCATTAGGATTTGGCTTGCTTCACGGATATGGAGACAAGATAGGCATACCTTGTTCACGACAGTCATCAGGATTGACGCAAAGCAATAGCATACGATTGGCGGTACTGCGACTTGTATATGAGCCCATGTTCACTAGAGTGGTGTGCGCGGTACGTACCGCTATTCGTTGCAACCTCAGGTTTTACGCTGCCTGTTGCGACAGCTTTACGCATCTCTACGATATCCTCCTCCTCCAATGCCACATTCTTATAATCCGCGTCCTTCGCGTTCGACATGACAAGTAGAGATTATTCCGGAGCTAGATACCAGAGAACAGAATTATGCGAGCAGCCACGTTGCAACCGAAAGTTCGACGGCGGATCGTAGAACAGACGAGTGCGGGTATGAAGGATTACACGCCCGAGGCGAAGGAGTGACTGAGGTGCGAAGGTGGAGGATGGTGGTGGTAGGGGAGAAGGCCTGGGATAGCTGCGCCTGGTATTATTAGGAGCGTGGCCGTCTAGAAAAGAGCTGCGCGCCGCGGTCCGCGCGCGACCAGTCCGAGACACGAACTTGAACTTGAACTTGTCCGTGACGGCCATGACCGTTGCCCTCCGGCGCGCACATACCGGCGCGCCGTGAACATTCCATCCGTCGCTGTGCCAGCGCGTCGGCGCATGAAGATATACTCCATCGGGATATCTGTAACTGTTTACAGCATAGCCTAAGCGCCTTCTATGAATCCATCACGTTCGGTTCCCGTGCCACGCTCCAGACGGAGGCATCTTGCCACAAACCCTCATCATTGGCACACATACCTCAATCCGCACTTCTTCCGTCGTACTCTACACTCTGAGCATCCGAGCTTTGCCCGACTGCTCTTGTATCTCGCGGCTGTGATTGTCGTGTTTGAGAGTGCTGACAAAGGCTCTCCGTACTAGGATCCATGCCGCCTTTGTGCGGCTTGGGCAGTCATTCTGAATCAGGGGCCAAAGGCCCAAGATGGACCACAATCCTGAAAAGGGATATGAAACAGCGGGGACGAGAACGACGTTATTCAGACCCCTCATCTCTTCCCAGCTACACCATGCACGACGACGAATATGTCGAGAAACTGAATCGTAACCCCCAACAGCAGCGGTTCTTCTCTAAGGATCTGGCTAACTGGTACTGGTCTGGATACCCCGTACCCAACCCTGAGCCGGAGATAGGACCCGATGGCAAGCCGGTGGCGCGCGTTGAGGTTGGCGACGTAGGGTACATCTCGTGAGTACTCAATGCTTCTTCTGGCTTTCGCATCATTAACTCGAACCTTGTGCAGTTCTGAAGGCAAATTCAGTCGGCTGTTCAATATGCACCTCGAGCCGGGAGTCGATGGACAGCCCGCGTTGTTCGACCTGCCCAAAGGCTTCGTGTGCGCGCCTCCGAAGATCAGGATGCGGCATTGGACGTGCAGGAATACGTCTATGTATGCGCACGTGCCGGAGGCGCCTGAGAATTGGCGAGAGAAGATCGTTGGTTGGGGCGACAGGGTGCAGAGGTACGTCGACCGATATGACGAGCTATCGCATAGCCCGTGATGTTCATCCCTTGATACTTGCAGATCACTCGGCCACGAGCCCCCGCATAGGTGGCGCCCGAACGCCCCCGGTGCCATCCTTATCGTGGACCAGAATCGTTGGAGGGCAACGGTCCAATGCGAAGACGCGCTCAACGTTCTACACTACACCGCCTACGTACAGACCCACGCCAGAAGCTGGCACGAATTCGCATCATCGAGATACGGTCTCGAGTTGGAAGACTTGATCCTCGTCACGGGCATGGACCGAGGCGCGAACTGGGTCACGGCCGTACACGATGGCAAGAAGATCCAAGCGTTCGATTTCGGACCCAAGACTCCGTATCCCGACGAGGCTTCGCGACGCGTGGCGGAGGAGTATTGGAAGGAATGCCTTGATACGCTCATGGAGAATACGAATGTCAAGTGGGGGATGACCGGCCCGGGAGGGCGTCTGGATGAGAACGATGAGAAGGCCAAGGCCAAGTGCAGGGATCTGCCTGAGAGCAATGGGCGCCTTCGCGGGTCGAGATACGACCAGACTTTGTTCCTTCACTACGTTCGTGCAAAGCGCCGCCCGACTCAGGAGGTGCCGCTGGTTGCGGAGAAGATGCCAAATGCGGGGACCTCCTCCGAGTACCTACTCGAGAAGAGTGGGCTGGAGAAGATCGGGGTCGTGGACCACGGACACAAGCCGCAGGGTGGTCGCGAGCCAGTAAGTGATGTCACCTTGCGAGCTAGTTCCCATCTGACCGACGCATTGCAGTTCACTGACAGTCTTGAACCTGTGCTTGACTACATCATGAGGGTAGGTTGTCTCGAGTTCACATTATTTCCGCACTAGCTCATGGCGCTCTTAGTACTCGGACGCCGATATCGCCGTTGCGCATAGCGGTCAAATATATCGGCTGCCTGGTTCCTTCTGGGAGAAGTGCTTAGATGCATATTTACTGGTCAAAGACGGCGTCGGTACGTCCATGCCATGGTGCTCGATCCCGACTCTGTCTCAAATGAACACGCTTTGCAATAGGAGTCCTCTCATCGGACAGGGCTGACGGCGCTCGTCGTTTGAAGTTAGCGCGAGTCTTTGCGGATATGTTTTTGAGAGCTTATATCGTTGAGTAGTAAGTATAGCGTCTGGAAGAGTATCTTGTAGTGTACGATTATAATATTGGAGAGCCAATAGTGGCTTGCGTCTAGTGGGCTCTCCTATTGTCGTATGAGAGGGAGTATGGGAGCAAACGTTCTCGAAATAGGCCGTGGCAAGTACGAACCGGTCCGGAGACCGACTCCGGGCAGGCGTTGCCGATCAGGCGTTGAGCCAGGCTGAAACCAGCCCCCAACCACTACATACAGCACAGATACAACCCGGGTGGTAGATACCGTGCTGCTTTCTTCAATTAGAACTCCAAGATTACTTCGGGCGACCGTGGAAAGACCTAAACGGGAACAGCCGGGACTTTGATCGGCCCTCGATCAATGTGCAGCTTGGACGTGACCATCATCTGCGACAAGTACTGAAGCGACCACCAGCTGAAGAATGTCACTGCTAATCCCACTCTATTCTATGGATGAGGTCGCAGGCTCGTCGTGGCGCGCCGCGCCGCAATGCGCACGTTGGCCCCCCACAGACCTCGAACGCATCTGTTCTTCTACAAGTGAAACACCTCAACTGGTCAGGAATCACGGGAAGTCCGAAGCACGCTCATCGCCGCACACGAACTAGACTGTTTGCATCTGGAATCATGCATTCATAGATGTCTCGCCGTGTAACCCGCATTGCCGCAAGTGTCGAGCGGACGGATGGAGAGCACTGCAGCAGATCTCATCTGCAACAGGGTTCTCGAAGCGGCAAGACATATACGAGCCGCTGATCCTCACGCGATGCAACAATACGTACATAAAGGATCCCACCTCTGCACCCCGACGCCCTTCCCGTGCAGCCGCCGATAGCATCACTCGCGGGCTCTTGACACGGCTCGCCCTTCCGGCCGTCTTCCCCATTACACTCCAGAAAACCTCTATTTTGCTTTAAGCAATCAGAACATTGCTAGGTACCATGAGGACCACGAAGCGCGGTCGCCCATTTCTCCGCGACACACTCGATCTCTTCGCAGCATTCGCCGTCTCTTTGCAGTTCAGTGAACATCGACGCTTCTTTCGCTCCTTCCCGAACTCCTTCGATGTCGACGATGCTGCACAGACCCTCGCCAGCCTCACGTTATCGCAGTCTCACTGCGACCCGGATCCCAGCAGTTCCTCGCGGTTTATCCCGAGCACGAGCATGACAACGTTCTCCATGACGCGCGACATGGCGAAGGCGACGTGCCAGCACTTGATGGATGCACGTCTGATCGAGGACGCCGCCGACCCGTCTTCGCACCTCTTCAAGGACCGCGGAGTATACGTGTTAACACCGAAGGGCCTTCACGTCCTTGAGCGCTTCATCGAGCGCAATGGGATCAGTGACGCTCATTTGAGGCACGTATTCGCTGGCCAGCCCATTTGTACGAAGATTTTCCACCTCGAGAGGCATTCCATCGACGACGAGATACTTGTCACTCAACCCATTATCTACGCGCTCTTCCGTCGTTTCGTCGGCCGAGAGGCGAACCATCCACCAGAGACGGGCGTGCATGACCCGAGTGCACACTATTCGGAACGCTCGAGGGGCATCGAGCTGATGACGGTACCTATATCCTCCGGAGGCCCGCCCGCTGCGCTCCATCGGCATTGCTTCATGTCTCTTGCCGCTCTCGAGTGGCTTTGTGACTTTACCAGTGTACTTGGGAGGGAACAGGCGGCGGAGATGGCCGCTCAGTTCGTTCGCTTCGGTCTTATCACACTCGTTTCCGATACGAGGAAGAAACACGACTCCGTTGTCGTCTTTACTGTTCACGGGTCTGTATCACTGGGTTCCTCACTCGCGCAAGTACGTCATCGACACTGATTTTATGCATGAGATTGACGTCCTCTCTCCTCCTCTCTGTAGCAGACGGGCGAGTTCCATTGCTCTGCCAAGGCAATATACAAGATCACCGAAGAAGGCTGCCGTATTGCGCACTGGAAAGATAACGAGGACACGTCGCTCGATATGTTTGGCGCTTGTATGCCGGAGTCGTTGCCCGATATCAGCGATGATGATGTGCACCTGCTCGGGCGCTTGCGCTTCATCCTCGATCAACCGCAACTCCGGGAACTCTTCAACGTATTCCTTCGCGACAACTCCTGCGAGGCGAACCTCGGCTTCTTCGTTGCTGTTGAGGACCTCAAGCATGCGTATGCGAAGAGCGCGAGCGTCGATCAATCGCCCGCGGAGCGCCATCAGGAAGCGCTCGTTCAGCGGGCTTTTGAGATATATAGGACGTATCTTGCGCCGAGTTCACCCTCCGAGCTCGAAATGGACGAAGACCTGCTCAAACGTCTCCCCGAATACCTATCTGGTGCTGAAGCCGCACTCACCAGTGGCACAGCTCCCCAAAGTAGTCTGCAGGCCGATCAGCTTGAGAGCTTCAATACGACTCAGGTCCTGAAGCTGATCATCATCTATGAGGGCATGCAAGCCCATGCTTTCCGCTCCATGGCGACAGACTGGGTTCCGAAGGTTTGCTCCGTTCTATCGATGAGGATACATGACGCTAACTGACCGAACCTGACATAGTTCACACGCACTTCACAATTCGCGGAGCTTTGCGAGAACAACGAGAAGCTTGGACTTTGGAGTACGGATGAGTACGATGAGTTCCAATGCTCTTTCGCGGAGTCGAGCCCATCGACTAACTCCGGGGCCATACAAGACGAGGAGGTCGGCGGTGCATAGTTCCGGTCAGTCAATGGATCAGATCCCGCCGCGTCGGCGAGGCTGAGAATCGTTGTCACGGCGTTTTCAATAATCAGACTCGACGAGTAGATGTTGTATAGGGAATGATGGCCACTGCGAGTGCCATCCGTCTAAGATGATGGAAGTTTGATAGCAGGACCGACGCTCGAAGACGAGCGTTTGCATACGGATTACTCGTCGGGGTCAGGGTGAGAAGCAAGTTAGTGATGGGCGTCAGGGCGGCGAGACACGGTGGTTGCCGAGATTCGACACCTTGTCCTAAACCCACCATGTCTGTGCTTAGTTGCTCAATTACCGGCCGTGACACAACCAATATAGCGTGCCAAGATACATGTAGATATGTGGTCCAGAACTTCCTGAGCGAAACGTTATTCAGTCTAAACTCCAATCTTGACTATTTGATCAGCGAGTATCCCGGAGTTTGTGCAAGCTCTTCATCCAGCCTCAAATGCTATTTTTGGTTCTCAACATGTCTCTGCACAGCATGTAACCTATCGGTGGGGGACGGCGCAAGCTAGAAATGCAATGAGACTCACAATTACTGGCCGATGAGAGCAGGACGCGGCCAGCACTACAAACCTCAACCCAGCCAACGTGACACTCATGGCACCATGGCGGCTTTCATCTCTACTAGATAATGGTGCATTGAACGCTGAAAGGTATATCTTGTACAGATTTTCGCATAAGTCACCAGGGGGGTTAGCGGGCAAGGGGGCGGTGAACGTCTGGTTCCTTGACTCGGTTTCGGCACCCCCTGAAAGTCGCTGAAGTGTGTAGGCGAAGTTACCGACAGGTATATCCTATCTCAACCCCCTAGAGATACCTTCTGTCTGTGAGCGTATATATAGGGTACGCTAGACCCGCTCATTTTCCGGTATCCAATCGCTCAATCCTCTCATCACTTACATTCAAATCCACCCAATAAACATCATGTTCTCTTCCACTCGCCTTCACGCTTTCGTCTGCATTGCTCTCGGCGTCGCCGCCAGTGCCGCTCCTGCTGGGTGAGTTCCACATTCTGCTCCCCCCGGCTATCACTGACATCGCTACCAGCGGACTCGGAGCCAACGTCGAGTCGCGCTCCCCGGACACTTACGATCTCAGTGGAAACGGCGGTCTCGTCGGCGGCTATTACGACCCGTACACCGGCTACTATTACCCAGACGGATACCCGTACGGCGGCAACCGCGGCGACAGCGACGAGGATGTCTACATTCTTAAGCGCCAGGTCCCCGGTGATCTCGACATTGGCTCGAAGCTCGAGACCAACATGGGCGTTCAGCATGCAGTTCCGCTCGGCGAGGCTGCTCTCGGTCTTACCAGCGCCGTTGACGCTGGTGCAGATGTCGAGAAGCGTTCGCCTGATGTCTACGATCTCAGTGGCGACGGCGGCGTCCCGCTCTTCTTCGGCGGCCACCCCTACGGCGGCTACCCGTATGGCGGTCAGGGAGACGGCGATTCCGACGTCTACATCCTCAAGCGTGAGGTGGACAGTCTCGGCCTTGACTCTCAGCTTGGTGCAAACATGAATCTCGGGCAAATTTCTGACCTGTTCGCAAGCGCGCTTGATCCCAGCGTTCTCAACAGCGACCTGGGCCTGAGCACTGAGGACTCTGCTGAGAAGCGCCAGTTCGGTCTTGGCTCATCTGCCGGTCTTGGTCTCGGTTCTTCCGCGGGCCTTAGTGGCCTCAGCGGCCTCAGTGACCTCAGCGGCGGCTCGTTCTTTGACAGCAACACTGGCACGACGACCTCTACTTCCACTTCCGGTTCCACCTCCACCTCCACCTCCACCTCCACTGACACGACCACCGACGGCTCTGGTCTTACTGGCCTCGGCTCTGGCACGTCCGGTCTTGATGTGAACAGCCTCCTCTCCTCGTTCGGCGGCTCTGCCGGCGCCAACGGTGGCCTCACGTCGGGGTTGGGCCTCGGCATCTGAACGTGTATGTCCGTTTCCAACATCGTCTCGTTTGGCTCTAGCTCATTCTCCTTCGTAGAAGACGACCCATTCACTGCGACTTCCTGTATTATAGACTGTTGGCTCATGGATGTATACCCAACATGTATGTCGCGCTAGCCTCGTGTGCGCTGCGGTTGCAATCACATCGATCTTTTACCTCTCCCATCCGCATGCCAACGAGCAGGATACGAAGACGCATCTTGATGCTAGCAAGGTGATAACGGAACAATTTCATAAACGATCGTCCGAGGCATGTCGCAAACTCGTACTTTCTGGCTGAGTGCGAGCAGGCGCTAGACAGCTTCTTGGATGGGCGCTCGGAGACTCGGATGGGTCCCATGGGCCTGGAGTAACTCGTGTATGCCTGGATGTTGTGTCATGCGACCTAGAGCTGAGAGCGCTCGCACAGTATGACAGGCGCTGTAGATTACTGTGTCCGAGGAGGGCCAGCTGTACGCAACAACTTAGGCGAGATGCGGTGATAGAGCCCGTAGCCCAAATATGACGAGTACGCGCATATGCGCCTCTTTAGCTGGATATAAAGATCACTGTGCGGTCTGGACGTAACTTTGCTCCACGTAAATGCAACCCGCGTCCACCTGTACACTGCTACAGAGGTCCAGTGCACCGCGCGGCAGTTGTGTTGAAACCATGTTGCTCCGCGTGCTGTGCGGGCCGGAGGCAAACCCCGCGTGCTATAACTCGTAAAGCTCGGCCGCGCGTGGTTGATTCCCACCACCTGATACCCAGCCCGAGCCTCGTCGTGACCGCACTGCCAGCTTGACTACTTACCCTCACGACGACCACTATCACGACCGCGACTACGAGCACTGTATACCCTGCGATGGCGACTCCGTACGCCGTGGACGCCGCTGAGCGCAGCAGCATCGACCTGTCTCTCGAACTCGAGCACCAGCTACAATTAGAGGACGATGCCTCGCATCCTTCTTCGTCACGACCGCACTCGCTTGACCCTCATGTTCTGTCTACTTTGATCAAGAACCTGCACGCGGAGGTGTCTAAGCTCACAAAGGAGCGCGATGAGCTGGCGACCGAACTCGGCGATTCACGTGAACGTGAGGGCGACTTGCGGGAGGAGGTTCACCGGATGATGGAAGCCCATGCGACGATGGACGAGCAGATGGATGAGTTGCGCCACAAGAACCAGGAAGCCGAGGAGAGTATCGCGTTGTTGCGTTCGAAGGTAGAGGATTCAAGGTACAAAGCCATTGTCTTCCCTAAACGGGACTAGCGTTCTGACTTCTTTGACAGGCGCGCGCTCATGAGGTTGCAAACCGAGAACCGTCGCGGACCCGGCAACATGAGCATCGACCTCTCGCGGACGAGCAACTTCACCTTTGGCGGTGCACCGCCGTCTGCGTCGAAGCGCATGTCCTTCACACCCGTCACAGGGTCGCCGGCTGCGCACCCAGGCGGCCACCGTCGCCGCGCCAGCAACTTCTCCGTTGCGGGCGGCGATCAAGATGGGGCTTCTGTGCTCTCTATCCCAGCTGGCCCATCAGATGTGTTTGGATTGGGTGTGACATCGCCACGGTCGCCACTGATGCGACACGAGAGTGATTCGGCGCTACAGAAGCAGATCGACACCTTAAAGCAGCAGCTTGAAGAGACACGCGCCGAGCTCAGTGAAGCCGTGGAGGCCCGCGAGTCGAGCGATATGCTTGCGAAGACTCTTCGCGCGTTTATCGACGAACACAACGTTGGCCAGGCAACGCCTCCACCTCCGGAGATGCCTCGCCGGCTCAGTTCAGAAACCAAGGCGCCTCCTGCCCGATGGGGCTTTGGCGGTTTGTGGCGTTCGCCCGACCCTTCAAAGGACACAACCGCTCCAGCTCATGGACATGCTCCCTCGACCTCGGTCACGGCACCATCGCCGCCGGCCGCAGCCGAGCCTCTGACGAAGAAGCTCGGTGGATTCTTCTCGGGCACACGCCGGATGAGCCAGGCTTCGGTGTCCACGTCGATGTCGCCACCCATGTCGCACCGCGAGCCGCCTTCGCTTGACGCCGAGTACTCGTCGTCAACGACATCCTCCGTTGACACCCCGGAGCCCACCAGCCCGGTTGACGCTCTGCAGCGGACCTTGTCGAACGACGGCACTCCCGGTACGAAACTGGTATCGCTGAGTGAGAGCGGCATCCAGATCGTAGCCGCATAAGTATGAGAAGGATAGACCATTACGCTTGTGACTGCATCTTTTACGACCACTGACGATGAACTTGCATACGCTCTGACTTGACATTGCATACCTGCTATCCCGATATTTATACGTAGCACATACCTAGTAGACCGACTCGCACTCTGCATTCTGAAACTCCTATGGCCGGAACCGCCGGCGCTTCTCGCAATTCATTTGTCGATCTTGCCTATCCTCCGTTCTTCGCACACGTGGAAATGTATATTCGTACCCATCAGTGTCTCTAATGACAGCCTCTAATCGTCTAAACACACCGCCACAGTGCACAAAAGCGGGAAGAGGATTGCTGAGAAGCGACACTCGTCCCGGACCAAAGACGGAACGCTGCGGCGTGTGCTGATGCTCTCAATAGGCATACGGCTGACATGTTAAGTCGCCGCTTGCTGCCTCGGCTACCTTGCCTCCCACCAGCATCATCGTCACTCCTACTCCCAAATGGCCGAGTCTGGCCAGAACAACTCGCCCGCGGGCCAGACGCCCCGCCAGCGCCGCCGCAGTGCGGCGCTGTCGTGTGCCGAGTGCAGGCGGTGAGCGCTTATATGACCCTGCCTATCGCGGGCGAACAGGTCGCTGATCTAGGATCATTATCAGGCTGAAGCTCAGGTCGGCCATCGTTAGCTCGCCCCGCGTTTACCGGTCGATCTGAATAGTGCTGTGCACCGCATATTTCAGGTGCAGCCGCGTATTTCCGTGCAACAGCTGCGTCAAGAAAGGCTGCGCCCAGATCTGTCCAAATGGTGTGTAGTGCACAGTCTAAAACAGCGCTAGGATTCATTGGGCTGATATTTCTTCAACGTAGGATCACTCACTACTGGAAAGGGCAACAGGTATGAACTAGCAATGACGTAGACATGGGCTTCTCTGATCCGCTAGCAGATTCATCCTAGCGAATACAGAAGTCCTGCACGACAAAATCCACGAACTTGCGGCGCGCGTACGGCAACTGGAGGATGCGCTTCGCGAGAGCCATTCATACGTCTCGAAGGACCGCCATCCACTCCTGACCGAAGAGCTGCTACAGATCAAACGACCTCTAGAACGTGAAGCTAGAGATGAACTGCCATTGCCATCAGGTTCCAACATGCTAGAGGTTACCCCGGAGACGAGCGAGGAAGCGGAGGAGGTTTTGGACGCGGTCGGGTCACTGTACGTCGCCCAATGATCTGGCTGCCTTTATATAATTCTGACTTAGGGGCACTTCCGCAGCGTCATCTCAGACGATGGCAAGGCTAACTTCTTTGGCACTACGGCCAACGCTTGGGTGAGCTATAGCGAACCTCTCCTGGAAATTACACACCACTGACTGTCTCTAACTCTAGTACTACCTTCAAGTATGTGATCATCTATACCTCTACTACGTCATAGTAACCTGTAGTACCTCCTTGTGTAGAATGAAGGCGGCGACGAAGATGCGACCAACGCGTCGGACAACCAGCCATGGCTTAGTCGCACTTTCCCTTTCGCGCTCACGGTCAGCGAGACCGTAGACCAGATTCGCGCAGAACTGTGGAACAACCTCCCCGGCGAAGATGACGCACGGCAACTCGTCGAGAACTATTACCAGTTAGCTGGCTGGATGTGCGTGCCCTTCCTGTACCCCGGCGTCCGCCCGATCCTTCCGCGCTCGTGGCTCACTTCCGCGCTTTGCTCTTACAGGTACCGTCCCGTCGAGCCGGACGATCTTTGGATCAACATCTTCAACCCTGTATACCGGATGACGCCAGACGATGCATACGACGCAGTGCAGTCGCACCGTATCGCAGTCTTGTACCTTATGTTTGCGCTCGCAGAGCTGCTCAACCTTGAACGCACACCGTACTCGAAGGAAGCAGACTTTTATTACAAGCTAGCTCGCACAGCGCTGGCCGTGGACTCGGTCCTTGAAGAACAGAGCATCCAGGCGATTCAAGCCCTGGCAAGTCGCCATCGTGCCCTCCTCGATACGATGAGGACGGAGATAGCTTATCCTTGGCCGCATTGCAGGTGCTCATGTGCCATTACATGTTCTTCGCGGAGATACACGCGCCACGATGGACTCTCATGGGCCTGGTTGTGAAGCTCGCGCAATCCGTAAGTTCCGTGGTCGTCGGAAAGAAGGATAATAAGCTGACGGAATGGGGTTACTTCCTCGCAGATGGGTCTTCGTGCGTGCTGTGGCTGTAATCGTAAACGCTATTGTGAACTCATTCTTGTCCAGATCGGGACAGTTTGCGGTGGAAGATGGGCGAAGACGAGGCGAAGAAGCGGCGAGCGCTCCTTTGGTTCGTCTTCAACCTCACGATGATCGCCGCGTGCGAGCTGACTTGAACGACAGGGAGGTGGTCACCTACGACTCATGGCAGGTTCGTCAGAGGTTCTTCATACATGTTATCATGTCACTGAGTCTATCGCAGAGCCTGACCTATGGGAGACCGCCGTCCATGTCGATGGTCCACGTCGATTGCCAGTTCCCCGAAGCGCCAATCAAGAACGAGCGAGGACAGACGGACATGTCGTGTACGTCTTCCCCTCGCTATCCCGATCCGATGTCACAGCCACTGATCGTCGCCGCAGTCGAGATGTGGAAGCACCGGTTCGTCGAGAACATACAGAGTCAAGTGCACGATTTGGCATTCTGCGCGAAGCCGGCGAGCTACAAGGTTATCCAAGAGCTCGACAACAAAGTCCGCACGTTTCCCTTCCCACCCTCGCTCCAAATTGTAGGCTTTGGCGGGCAACATGTCGACAAGGAGCCGCCTCCGGTCACCCTTGTCATGCAGCGCTACATCGCGCACGCCATCTGGGAGATGAGTGCGTACAGTATGTCTTGATCGAGAGCTCTCATGCTGACCGTCGCTTTTGCAGCCATTTTCTACATGCATCGTGGCTTCTTCGCGCGCGCGCTCGAGGACTCCACGGGCAACCCACTCAGTCACAAATACTCGCAGTCCGTTCTGGCGGCCAGCATGAGCGCATGCACGTTCATCGCGCTGATCGAGAGTGTCTTCGCCCAACATCCCCGTCTTACGGAGCGCATGTGGTTCTTGTTCACGCACGTCTTCTCCTGTGCCGTATGTCTATCCTGTCCTCGAGTTTGAAGCGGTCCTCTGACGTCTTGAATCTTCTTTCTCAGGTTGTACTCGGCTCGATCGCCATCAAATGCCCGCAGAACTCGCTCTCCCGCAACGCTTTGATGCATCTTGACAAAGCTATCGTCATGTACGAGCACGTCCTGACGCCGAACGCTGCCAAGGTGCTACCCGTGCTGAGCAAGCTTCGAGAGCGCGCGTTGAGTGCTCCGGCTGAAGCCGGCGAGTCGCCTCCACGTAGTACGCCCGAGCGGGAGGAAGAGAGGAAACGCGAAAACGAAGAGCTCGCGACTCTAGGTGGAAAGACGCGGCTTGTTTCGCGGAACAAGAATGGCTCGACATCCAACCCAACCTCCCCTTCCGCGTCGGGTTCGGCTTCGCAAAAGGCGGGATCTCTGAGCCCGACCATGACACCTTTCCCGCCGGCACAGTCTCCAGAGTCTATCCAGGGGCCTATGGATTACACTTCGAGTCAAGTAGGCGGTTACCCGGCGCGGTCAGCGACGTCGACATCTCCAACAAGCCCTCAAGACTCGTACCATCAATTGGGCCTGCCGCCGCCCTTGTCGGCGTCTCATGCGCAGCACTATCCGCAGCAGAGCTTGCAAGGGCAGGCCTCCGCGGCGTATGGCACCAATGGCATGCAGCCACAAGGCACCAGCCAATACCCGTTACCAGGCATACAGGGCTTCTATCAGCAACCGCAGAGCAATCCGCACCAACGATATCAGGCACAGCCGCAGCAACAGCTTGCGTACGGCCAGTCGACCACTTGGACTGGCGGTACCGGCTTCGAGCAAAGCGCTTCGCCCGATCAAATGCAGTTCGCACCTATGAATGGACACGGCCAATTTCAGGGCGTGTACGACCAGACTATGAGCGGTGTCCCGCAGAACAACGGCCAGCCATTTATCACGACTGGAGGCCCTTGGCAGCATACAGACTATAACTACGGCGGCTATGCGCAGGGACAGCAGGGGCAGTCATTCGACGGACAGTACCCGAACTACGACGCAAATCAGGCTCTCGCGTCCGGGTCGTACCTCACCAGTCCTACGACAGCCTTCGAACCGGAGTCCGCTTGGAAAGCGCTGTACTCGCAGTGGGACCCCAGGACCCAGGCCCCTTTATGATCATGCTATGATACCGTTTTGTTGTCGTGTTGCTTTCGGACTTGAGGATCGCTGTGCGTTTTGTTTGAGTTATACACCTACATGCTATCCCATCCGGTCGACTTGCTGTACTTACTGTAATTGCTGAACATCGATGACACTCTCTTTGGCGACGCCGGACGCGTTCACCGGACCACTCATGGTGGCATCTTCCCAGTGTTATACTCATCGGTCGCGAGACGGCCAGTCTAGATACTCGGCCTGCGAGGCCTGTACGGCAGAAACGCCAAGTGACGCGCCCACAAAAAAACAAACAAGCAAATTGTAATATCGACACCATATTATCGCTACGCATATACAAATAGAACAGTCCACTCCGTCCATTCATAGCCAGTCCGATACTCAGAATCCACCAGGGAAGCCAGTCATTTGCTGCGTCAAGGATCAGTATTACTACTATGCAAAATAAAGGAACATACACGTACAGGAG